GCCAGTTACCTTCAGTCATAATATTTGCATGTGAATTATTCAGTTATAGGAGGAAGGAAAAAAATAACTGTAAGGATTTGTCTGCGGGGGTCTCTTCAGCACAAATATCAGCAAAGTCTCTGCACCGAGCACCCCGTTCAGGAGGTGCAGGCAGGTTCCAGCATGGCTCCAACCTCTCGGGTGGCCCCTCTGACCAGCTCTTCGAATGCCTTCAGCAATGCTCGTCTTTCTTGCCTGATAAAGACTGGAGACTGATTCAGACAATCTAAATTCTGCCTTTGGCCTTCAATATCTTAACAAGAGGGTTTAATGAAGAGATTAATATAAAGATATTATATTTTAACGTCCACATGACTCATCATGTTCCACAATGCAGATGCTGGATTAATAGGGTAGGAGATGGAACTTAGTAAAAATTTGATGTGATTTGCTTTTAATGAACTTTTAATACTTTTCCTTTTTTTTTTGCCTCAAACAGGCTATGTTTTAAAGATTACAGAATATTGAAGCAAGCAACTTTTAAGGGGAGCTCTTCTTCTGGGGTTTGCATTGTCAGTGTTCAGATAGTACATTTTTGCAAAGAAGAAAGTTTAATGCCTCTGTTTTTATTTGGCTACTTCAATTACCCCCCTCCCTACCCCAGCGTTGAGATTTTGCCGGCAGGAACTAGTCATTGATATGGAAGTGGTCATTGATACAGTTCTGCAGTCTGTTTTATTTCTCTGTAGTCTTGGCAGTTGCAGAGATGTCTCGGCAGCCCTCTTTAAAAGTCCCTTGAAAATTAGTATTTTTAAAAATGACAGAATTGCCTCAAATTCTTTGTAGTATTGACTGTGTGTGTGAGGATGTCTCTGTACATGAAAGTTATTTCAGATTAAGGAGAAGTATATTTAAAATGACAATAATTATTTTAAAATACCTTCATATCTGGACATATTTATTACAGAATAAATCTGCCTTATTTTTCTGCTTTAGCTTAATCGACTTGCAAAGTAGACAGGCTTATTTCTTCCAAATACGTTGGGATGCAGGCAGAGCCTTCAGCCTGGGAGAAGCCTCTCAGCAGCACTTAAGGACTGCAGGCTGGTTTCTTTGAACACAAAGGGAAATGAACTGCTAGTGCTTGGTCAGGGGATTTCATTAGCACCAGGACTGTATGGTTCTCATGTCCCACGGTGAGATCACTGGCATTACGCCTCTGTAATTGAGATCAGTATCTACCTACTTACCAGAAGCAGAGGCAGAGAGAGAGCTGGGGTGTTTTAAATGAGGTGCAAGAAGCACCAGAGGGAACCTCCCCTGTGTGGCAAAGCCCAGGGAGCTCCCAGCCTCCGGCCACGCTCGGCTCTCACACAAAATAAACCAGTATCTGCTGGAAAACCAGGCTGAGCCCAGGTCTGCTTTGAAAGTCTGATATTGGATTTCATTGTGGAAGAGGTGTTTTCACACTGAAAAGCTGGGTGTTTTGCAAACTCTACCCGCCAGTGGAGTTCCAGTGGGAACAGGGCACCGATAGACTGCCTTTCACTGTAGCTGCCGATGACTTACACACACAGCCTGGATTTGATCTTGACTGCTTTTATTGATGTAAGAACTAGCAGCGTCACATTTTCATGGAGATTCATTTTACATTAAGGTATCTGTTTTCATGGAAACAATACACCTTTTCTGCAGATTAAAATTAATTTAAGATTAAGAAAATTAAAAATAATAATTGAGAGGGTTGTTTTGGGGTGTGGGCGGTTTTGGTTTTTTTTTTCCCCCAAAGATGTTTTTCTCTTCGTGTTTCCCATTTTGGATGAAGTGAGCCGATATACTGAGATGTGACATGCAGTGTTGTGTCTATTCAAACCCATGCTCTGTGGAAGCTGTATACTGTAGCTGTTGTAAATAAAACAGATACTGGCCATTTATCCATGTGTCTGAAGCCCTCATTTCTCTCTCCCTGGGTGCTTTCTTAGGTCCTTGAAGCTGGCTGCTACAAACAGGCCTGTTCTAAAGCTCTCTGTAATATAGGATCTCCCTGAATGCATTTCTGCAGTGGAGTCTGTCTGTCTGTCATGCTCTTCATCGCAGGTTGGTAATGTACCTGACTTGAGTGGCTGTTGGGACCAAAATTTGTCCTTTTCTTTGCAGCCCTCATGGATACTTTAAAAGAAAATTACTTAGTGGACTTCAGCTCATGATTTTGCCTTCTAGATGGCGTTTTGTTTACAAGTACGTGTGCACTTGCCACATGCAGAATTCACACATGTAACTATTGTGGCCAGAAATGGCCTCTCCCGCTTTAACGCCAAGGCAATGCCAGTGCTCCTTGTGTGGATTTAGAGCTGTTCGACCCCTCAGGAGAGGCCTCAGAATGGGTTTCACAGTGTGGGCTCAGCTGGACGAAGGGGTATTTGCTTTGTAAGAGCTCCTTTTTCAGTCTTGAACTTTTTGAGCTAAAAAACCTGAACTGGGATGTAAGAAGGCTGGGTATTGGTGTGATAAGGTTGTATGTAGCCTATTTTCTCACTGAATTGCTGGAGTTACTCGTTGGGGAAACTAAAGAAGCATCCCGGAGAACCCAGACCTGTGAATCTCTGCCAGAGATGGCTTTGAGAAGGCCCTTTTTGTGAACATACCCTCCTTAGCATCCCATCAGTTCTGGGGCCATTTTTGTTTCTTTTTCTTGTGGTTTCTGCCTTTGCCGTTTGTTTCAGATTTGTCTGCCATCTTGCAAAGAGTTTTGCCCTCTTCCTGGTTAAAAGACCTGCCTCCTCTCAGCACGCCTTTGGTACAAGGCAACATGTTCTTGTTTTCATGCGGTCTAAAATGCCACCCAAGTTGAACAGTGGGCACATACTGCTCCCCCTTTTTAAGGATGCACATCATTCAGACAGTGGTTTTCACTCCGTGGCTGAAAGGACTTGAAATTATATGTCCTTGCCAAATTTCAAGCGTATCCGGTCACACTGAGGTACAAGGGTTGTTCACATAGAGGTGACAACAACTTGTATCACACTAAGAACATTTATTTTTCTTCCTCTTTGAAATCTTTATCTCTTGTCTGCAGTTTCGAAAACTGCAAACACTTTTTTTTTTTTCTCTTTTTTCCTGCTTCACTGACAGAAAACAGACCAGGAAAACATCATCTAAAAAGGCCAAGTCTGGTAAAGTAATAAGCAATTAAAAAAGACTATGTGGAGTGGAAAATTTTCCCAAGCATTTAATATCAGGTCTAGCTTTAATTTCTAGGCTTAACTATTGAAAAAAATGGGTGCATTTTACTTAGAGTTTGTTATGATAAATATTTTTGGAGGAAATTGCAGGACTGCTTATATAACTAACTGGAGCCCTTAGCGAAGTTTTATTTAGCTCAAATTGTATATATTAGGACACATACATGCATGGATATCACTGTAATAGGAATTAACTATCAAACAATTCTCACTCTGCATGGATGGGAGGAATCACATCATTACCTGAAGAGAACAGAAATTCATGGGCATCGTGCTGGGAAGAACTATGTATTTCAGAAAGGTGAAATCTGGGTCCTTTTTGAAGTTGCTGTGAAGAAAGCAAGTATCACCACTAGTTCTGTGTTTCATAACCATATAAAATAAGAGCTTGTGTTGTACAACAAAGCAATCCCCTAAAAACCTAGAAATCAAAATAGAAAGTCCTTTGATAGACGAAAGTCGGCATCTTTTTAACATTTGCTATCTATAACATTGCCTACGGACACTGCACTGCAGCAAAATGAAATATTCAGCGCCATTTTCCCTGTATAAATACCTAGCAGCTTCTTCTAAGAAGCAAACAGAAATTCAGCTCAGTTGCCTTAAGACCACACGGTGCTTCACATGAAAGATTCGCCACCTTGTCAAAAAATCGTATTTGATATTTGACCTAACGCATGCCTCCCACAAGCAGTTAAATTAAAATGCCTTTGCTCTCCTTTGGCGGGAGGGCTCCCTCCATTTTGAAGGGCAACCCACGGCCGGTGTGAGAGCTCGCAGGCGGGATGGCCGCTGCCCTGCTGGGGCCATCCCAGCCACTTTTCAGCTCACTTGTCGGTCGAAGGGCTGCCTGGGGACACAGGAGGCACGGGCCGTAGGTCTCAGCAGCACCTAGCAGAGGGGGTTTGGGGAGCGTGCCCTACCCACTGGGCTGTGTGTTGCCCCCAAGAAGCGCTGGTTAGGGCGGAGGCAGTGTGGGGCCGGCCGTGGGCATCGGGGACGCTGGCTTCTGCGGGAGAGGGCTGGGGTGGGTGGGAAAAGCAGGTGGGGTTTTTCATACAAAAAATTGCTCCCTCCTTCCTTTGAGGCCCAGGACCCAGTGATTTTCAACAAAACAGTGCTCAGTTACTCAGGTAAATTAGGCCGACCGGCTCCTGCCCTTTGGATGTGTCGTCTTTGACTGAGCTGTTTGCTATTTCCCCTGTGTTACTGGTAGAGGCCTGTCCTTCGTCATTCAAGAAGTTTGCAGGATATTATGCTGCCGACTGAATTTTTTGCCCTGTACTCATGAAGTAAACCATCCCTGAGCTGACTTGTAACAGATGTCACCTGGCTCTATAACAAAGTTAAGGTGAAGATTTTAAAGGACAGATTACTGCAGGATTACAAAATGCATGCAAGTAGAAATGAGAAACTTTCTGAACTGAGTGTTTGTCTTTCGGATTGTCAACTTCAGCCTTTCATGAACTGTTAATACTGGGAAATTATAGTGCAGCAAATAATGGCAGATGCTCTGTAGTTTTTATTTCCATACAGAGTTTGCTTTTGAGATTGTTTACTGGCCTGGCTTGAGTGGTCTGTCAAGTGTACATCTCTTTAAAATACATCTTAACTTCTTCATCGTGTTACTATTGGGAACTAACCTTGTGTTATTTCTTTTTTCTTCATATAGTTT